GGGGAGTGGGAGAGGGAGAAGTAGGCTTCCCGCTGAGCAGGGAGCCTGATGCGGGGCTCGACCCAGGACGCTGGGATCACGACCTGAGCCGAACGCAGACGCTCAATGACTGAGCCACCCAGGCGCCCCTTTTTTTTTTTTTTTTTAGATTTATTTATCTATTTGAAAGAGAGAGAAAATACAAGTGGGGGCAGGGGCAGAGGGAGAGAGAGAAACAGGCTCCCGACTGAATGGGGATCTCACGACCCTGAGATCATGACCTGAGCTGAAATCAAGTGTCGGACACAACCAGCTAAGCCACCCAGGCTCCCCAAGCATGCAACTCTTAATCTCAGGGTCATGAGTTTAAGCCCCAGGTTGGGGAACGTGGAGCCTACTTAAAATTTAAAAAAAAAAAAAAGAAGAAGAAAAAAAAGAAAGGAAACAAAGTACGTCCCCATAGTTGTCTCCCACAGTGTATAGGTACCAGAATTTTTCTGTGTGACGCTGTCTTCTGGAGACACAACTTGGACTCTTATTATGAATGTGTTCCCAGTGCCTCCATTTGGGACCATCACCTGTCCTTCAGTGTTTTCAGGCTCTAACTGTTCCTCTTCCGCCGTGGAGGAACCTTCTGCCTTCCCTTTCCCCAGCTGATTGGGACTGCTGGTGTCCTGGGGCCCTGGCCAGGTCTCATGCCACCCATCCCACACGTTTCTTTCGGATTGAGCAAGGTCAGAATTCAGTGAGGACCTTCTACTCTCAGGATCTTTTCTGGTCTGCCCTGAGCTGTTCACTGAGGGCGCTGGCATTCTTTTTTCTTTCTACAGAGTAATATAGGTATATTATAAAAATTGAGAGACTATAAATAAGCAAAAGAAGAAAGAAATCATCCATAATGTCACCACTGTTAATTTAATATATATCCCTGTAGTTCTTTTGTCTTTCTCTCTTTGCTTGTTGCTGTTTTAAATAAATAGGCTCGGGCACCTGGTGACTCAGTCGGTTAAGCGTCTGCCTTCGGCTCAGGTCATGATCCCAGAGTCCCAGGATTAAGTCCCACATCGGGTTCCCTGCTTCTCCCTCTGACCCACCCTCTCTCGCACGCTCTCTGTCTCTCTCGCTCTCTCTCAAATAAATCTAAAAAAATAATAAATAAATAGGCTCATTCTACACCAAACTGTTTGATACCTTGCTTCCTTCACTTAGCAATATATCATAAATGCCTTTTCATGTCAAAAACATACTCTCCTATACCATCCTTACTGTAATTTTTAATATTTGCATATTATTTCCTGGTATAGATATGCCATGATTTATTTAAGCTATAATTAACATTTAGGTTATTCTCTGATTCTGTACTATTTACACCTTAATGCTGTAATGGCCATCCTCTGGGCACCTCCATGATTGTTATCCTCCTTAAGACAGGATAGGGTGGGGAAGTACAGCTGGGATCTGACTCTAGATCTGTCTGATCTGAAAGCCACATTCATAATCACTTTTCCCTTCTGTATGAGAGGAAGATAAAAGCTTCTCTTTTATATTCAGTTTCCTTCAAGTTGTTGCAAATTAGCAGGTCTTCTGACCTTGTCCTCTGCTCTACTTCTCCCTAGTTCTTCCAGAAGGCAGCACTGAATGTCAGAGACAATGTCGGGGAAGAGGTGGACGCGGAGCAGCTGATCCAGGAGGCCTGTCGGAGCTGCCTGGAGCAGGTGAGACCCAAGCAGCCAAGAGACGCACAGACGTAGGCCCAGGCTTAGTCCTCAGGGCTTTACTGAGAAGTGTGATCACTTCATTCGTGGTCCTTGGGGGGATGCCTGACAATCCACTAGCCTCCAGAGAGGGCCTGGAGCTGTTGCTGACAGAAGGGAAGTGGCTTTTCTGTACCCTGTACTGGGATTGATGCTTTCACATGCATTAGCTCATTGACACCCCAGAAGGCATATTCTAATCCCTAGTTTCCAGATGAAGAAACTACGGCTCAGAACAAGCAAGAATTAGAACAGCTGAGGACTCTCTCTGCAAGTGGTGACTTCACTCTTCAAGTCACAGCCCCTTTTGGTACCGTGGGGCCTATCTGCCTTCCTGCCTCAAGGGGTGTGCTCAGCAGAAATGACATCAAGTCTAAAAATGTCTGTGTTCCCAAAATAGAAGTGAACCTGTTTATGTGTGTCAGCTGTTCTTATTAATAGGAATTGTCAGCATCACCCAGATTCTGTGCTTAACTGTGAAACCACTAGCTGTGAGAGATGGAAATTTCTTCATACTCAGAGCCACAGAGGCTGGTTTGAACTTAGTCCTAGGAGGGTGATTCTCAGGAGATGAGAGAGTAATGTCTTCTGGGAGGTGGGCTGGCCAGCTGCCCAGGCACAGCCTCAGAAAAGAGCAAGACCAGGGCCTGAGCCTCAGCTTTGGAGAGGGCAGAACTCCATCCATTAGTGCAGTGAAAGCTGATCTGCTTCCCATGGTCTTAATTTAAGCCAACCAAACTCCTAAGAGGCCAGTTCATTACTTCACTCTGCAACTGGAGTATGTTATAATCAGTTGTAACATCTGTTGATAATAAAACATGGCAGTTTGCTAATGTTCTTACAAGTTTGAACGGAATCAAGATTAAACTGGTAAACCTTCGGTCTCAGTTGCATCCCAGAATGCTTTCTTGAGTTTATTTACCTCTCCAGCTAATATATATTGTGCGCCATTCTGTGCCAGGCCCCAGCTGCACTGTGCAAAATGGACACAGTCCTTACCCCCAGATCCCTGACATTACTCCAGTAATCATTCAATAGATCTGGAATTACGAACTGTTCTAAAAGTGCTATGAGCATAGGAGGCAATGAAGAGAGTACACTAGAAGGTACAGAGCCCAGAGGCAAAAGGGAGCGGAGTACATCCAAGGGACAGAAAGAAGCCAGAGTTGCTGGTTTTCAGAGGGTGGAGAGAATGATACTTGGTGAGGTTGGAAAGGTAAGCAGAGGCCAAATCAAGCCAAATTACAGGTGTGGAGTTTTAAGCAGAAGAGTTGCCTACTGAGATTTGCATTTTGAGAGATCGCTCTGGCTGCTATAAGGAGATTGGTTTGGGAATCTGGCCTGGAGATTGGAAGGGAAATGCATGAAACTCTTCAGGAGTGCCCGGGAAAGATGAGATGAAAGTGAACGGGGCATGATCTGTACTCCATGGATGGGTACACCTTTCCAGTCTCCTGAGTCCCCATGTCCACCTCGTGGAGTCCCTTTGCCGGTATCAGTGTGACTGGGAAGCTGGAATATGGAACAGATGGTGTATGATCAGAGCACAGGAATCGAGCACAGGAAGGTAGAAAGCCCAAAGTTCAGCTGGAAACCAGATGAATCAAGAAACTTCAAACAAGTCTTTGGACCTTTCTGTTCCTCAGTTTCCTTATCCCTAAAATTGGGAGCAAGAATCCACCACCAGTGGTTTGCTATGAGGATTAAATGAGAAAATTTATGCACACTACCAGGACCACGTGGGTGCATACAACACAGAACATTCTAGATATCAAGTACATGGGAGTTCTATTCATGATTATAGTACCCAGCTGCCTCACAACAGAGCCTGGCTTTCGGGTAGCCCAGGATACTTGAAGTTCTTTGGGGTCCCCTTGTCTGAACTGCACACAGAACTTCTTGTTGTGTGAAAAGATTCTTCACATTGGCTATGAGACAATTCGAGAAGGGTTTTTAGTTTGTTTGGGTTAAGACTTGATTTGTTTGCACTTCTGACACCACATTGACCATCTCAGTCGTGCTTCCTAATCTCCTTAGCTACCCCTTTCTGGTGATTTCCTAGGGAGAAATGGCTGACCTTATCTATAGCCCATTGCCTTGCATTTTTTGTTTGCTTGATTTTGTTTGCATGGCAGTTGTTTTTGTTTGTTCATTTTATTTATGTGAGTGATACATATCCGTTAAGAAAAATTTGGCATGGTAGTTAAGAATGCAGGCTTTCTCTTGATTTGCACTGTCCAGATATGAGTCCTGGCTTTACCACTGACTAGCTGTGTGACTTGAGGCAAGTTACCTCACCTTACTAAATCTCAGTTTTCTCATCTGCAAAATGGGTGTAGAGGTGCTGCATCATAGGATTGTTGTGAGGATTAAATGTGCTAATACTCTTAAGGCTTTTAGATCAGTAACAAGGACTCAGTAATTGTTACCTACTGTGGGTTTGTATTAAAATTAGACTATAAATTATAAGGAAGAAAATTAAAATTTCTCATAGTCTCACTGCCAGCAATAAGTTCTATTAACATTTTGATGCCTTTTCTTCATTTCCCTATGTATGTTTTTGCACATGTGCGTTCTTTCACTGGAGCACTGGGAATGCAATGAAGAGCAAAAACAGACCACCCTGGAACCCATGGTCCCCTTCGGCGGCCACACTATTTCTCTGTTCCCTTTTATAGCTCGACTTTGGGAAAGGGGGCTGTCGCTGGCTCCACTTTGTAACCTCCTGTTCATTCTTTTGCTCACTTTATTCAGTCCCCACCATTTCCCTGAAACCTCTCTTATATCAGGGTCCTCAGTAACCTCCATGTTATCAAATCCTGTGGACCCTAACTGTCCTCAGTTTACCCAGCTTCTTGGTGGCATTTATCACAGGGTCATTTCATGTTTCTTGGAACACTCCTTTCTCGGTTCCAGTGCTTTGACTTGCATCCACTCCTCTTCAGCCTCCTGGACCAGCTTGCCTTCTCTTCTGTGGTTCACTCTCATACGAGCTGATTCCCTCCAGTCCTGTGGCTTTGAAAACAATTTAACTGCTGTTGATTCCCAGATGTGTATCTCAGCCCTGAGCTGCTTCACTCTTGCCTTCTTTCGATCCATTCTCACAGCAGCCAGACCCATCTTTTTAAAGATGAACCAGATTGTGTCACTCTCCTCTTTAAAACCCAGGGACTCCCCACTGCAGGCAGAATAAAACCCTGATGCCTTAACGTGACCCACAGAGCCCTACCTGGACTGGCTCCTGCCTGTTTCTTTAACTTCATCTCATCCCACCACCCCCTCACTGGCTATCTTCTAGCTGTACTGGAATCCTTTCTGCTTCTCCAGTACACCAAGCTCAGCGTCCTTGCACTTGCTGTTCTCGCTGCCCAGCATGCTGTATCCTTAACTCTTTATATAGCTGCCTCCTTTTCTTCAGATTCAGCTCAAATATTGCCTCATCAGAGAGGCCTTCCCTGGCCACTCCATCTAAAGTAGTCCTCCTAGGGAAACCTGGGTGGCTCATCGGTTAAGCATCTGCCTTTGGTTCAGGTCATGATCTCAGAGTCCTGAGATGGAGCCTGCTCAGCGGGGAGTCTGCTTCTCCCTCTCCCTTTGCCCCTTCCCTCCCCCCTCCATGCTCTCGCTCTCTCTCGCTCTATCTCTCAAATAAATAAAATCTTTTTTAAAATAAAGTAGGGACACCTGGGTGGCTCAGTTGGTTAAGTGTCTGCTCAGGTCATGATTATTTCAGCTTATTTCAGCTCAGGTCATGATCCCGGGGTCCTGGGATTCAGCCCCACATCAGTCTCCCTTCTCGGCACGGAGCCTGCTGCTCCCCCTGCTTGTGTGCTCCCTCTCTCTCTCTCTCTCTGACAAATAAATAAAATCTTTTTAAAAATAAAGTAGCCCAGGGGCGCCTGGGTGGCTCAGTCGTTAAGCGTCTGCCTTCGGCTCAGGTCATGATCGCAGAGTCCTGGGATCGAGCCCCGCATCCGACTCCCTGCTTGGCGGGAAGCCTCCTTCTCCTTCTCCCACTCTCCCTGCTTGTGTTCCCTCTCTCACTGTGTCTTTCTCTGTCAAATAAATAAATAAAATCTTTAAAAAATAAAATTAAATTAAAATTTTAAAAAATAAAGTAGCCCCCATCTCACTCCTTTCCCCACCTCCAGTTAATCTCCATCACCTTACTTGTTGATTTCTACCACTTATTTCAGTCTGAAATTATTAATAGTTCATGACTTTATTTTCTGTCTCCCTTTCCACCCCCACCTCTGCTAAAAGCTTGAGCTTTACAAGAGTTGAGGCCTGACCTTGTTCACTGCAGTATGCCCAGCCCTAGAATATGACTCTTAATATGTGGACACTGAGTGTGTGCTGAATGTTGCAGGCGTGAATGAAGGAGGAAATGAACAAATGGCAAACGAACAAACAGGGTTCCTGCTCTCCTAAAACCTACAGCCTGGTTAGGCAGACGGGTATGAATTACAGTACCACAAAACGTGCGCATAATTCCACGCAGAGACTTGTGTGCTCTTCACTGCAATGTTTGGAGGAGGTTTAGGAGTCTAGTATTGGACTTAGCAATTGGGACCTCTACACATAGACACGAGGCAGACTGTTGTATAAATCTGGAGCTCAAAGGAGAGGCCACAGCTGAAGAGAAAAAATCATAGAGTCAACATTGTGTGTCAGCTGTACTCAGATTCTTAAAAATTACAGTGTCATCAGTTTATAGATGTTAACTGAAGCTGTGAGCATGATGAGAGCAGATAGAATACCAAATGGAAGAAGACAGAATGAACCACACTGAGGAAGATGAGCCAGCAAAGAAGGCTAAGAGAGAGTGGCCAGACAAGTAGGAAGAAAACCAGGGAGAGAGTTTCCAGTAGAGGGGAGTGCTCAGGCCCATCGAATGCTGCTCATGGGAACACAACTCTTCACATAACCTACAGGGCCCTGCCTACCTTGCCAAACTCCTCATTCACGCCTCTCTCCTCTGCCCATTATTTGCCAGGCTATCTTTTTCTTCAAACAAGCCAAGTCTGTTCCCACTTTGGGGCTCTTGGACTCCCTGCTGCTGACACGCTTCTCCTCAGCTCTTCTGATAGCTGGCTCCTTCTCCGCAGCCCAGCCCAGCCCAGAAGGCTGCCTTCTCAGCACAGCCTCCCCTGACCGCCTACTTAAAGCAGCCCTTCCCTCTGCTAATTCTCTGTCACATCTGCCTGGGGTTTTTTTCCTCCACACCATTTATCATGATCTGAAATTACCTTGTTTGTTTATTTGCTTATTATCCAGGTTGCCCGCGGAGTATAGCTCCACAAGAGCAGGGACTGTCCATGTGCCATTTAGTACTGTGTCCCCAGCCACTTCTGGACTAGGGGCTCAGTATTTATTAAATGAAAAGCAGCAGCTGTTGAGGAATATGTATTATATTAATGCATTTAGTTAGGAAAAGTAATATATAGTATATATTTACATGGAAAAAAGTAATGAAGAAGTTACATTGAAATATTAACAGTAGTTTGTGGATACAGAGATTTCAGGTTTGGTGTGGGGGTTTTTTGCATAGTTTCATCTTTAATTTTTCAGCAATGATCATTAATTATAGTTGACCCTTGAAAAAGGTAGGGGTGAGGGGCGCCGACTTCCTGCAGTGGAAAATACGCATATAAACTTTTTTTTTTTTTTAAGTAATCTCTGCACCCAGTATGGGGCTCGAACTCATGACCCCAAGATCAAGAGTCACATGCTGTACCAGCTGAGCCAGCCACGTGCCCCCATATATACTTTTGACTCCAAAAACTAATGGCTTATGTTGACCAGAAACCTTACCAATAACATCAACAGTTGATTAACACATATTTTGTATGTTATATGTTTTTTCGATTGTATTCTTACAATAAAATAGAGAAAAGAAAATGTTACTAAGAAAATCATAAGGAAGAGAAAATACATTTGTAGTACTGTACTGTTTTTATCAAAAAAAAAAAACTGTGTTAAGTGGGCCCGTGCAATTCAAACCCATGTTGTTCAAGGGTCAACTGTACTTAAGTTTTTAAAAAAAAAAAAAAAGATATCTATGTATATGCATATCTCGGAGTGCCTTTGTACTGGCCATGAAAACATTTCAACCCAGTTTGGAGTTTTAACCCAGCAGTTACCCACCAAAATAGTGACTGTTAACACTTGATCTTTTCCCTTCAGGCTAAACTACTGTTTTCAGATGGAGAAAAAGTAATACCCAGATTGACCCATGAGCTTCCAGGGATAAAGGTCAGAATCACTGGGTCTGGGGTGTTGCCAGGGGAGACCGATGAGGCTGGGAGGCAGGTGAACTCTGTGGGCCCAGGGAGCTTCCACATACTACCCATTCGTAGGACCAGGTCCAAATGAGGCCCAGCCCGGGGAGGGGCCGGATGGTATAGTCCAGGGCTCTGTCTTCTGCAGCCCCTAGGGACCTGCCGATCCCAGGCACTGGCTCTCCACTAACCCCTCCCTTCTATTTTCCTCCAGCGTGGCCGACAGACAGAAGAGGAATGTGCCCATCGAGGAAGCCCCGTTCCCAAAAAGGTAACTCATCTCCATGTTTTCTGGCTGGGAAAAGGCCCTGTAATTCCAAAAGAAGGTAGAGGGCTTCCTCCATGCACCGTGGGGCCTTTCTAGCATGAGAGGCAGGCCCCCTGGAGATTGTTAACTCTCCCTGTTCACTCTCAAGCCTCATTTGGTCTCTTTGGAAAACCATCTCCACCAAGTGACCCTAGACCTGCCAGTGGCATGGGGTGGGGCTTCCCACGTGGTCAGGCCTCTGACAGCTGTTCTTTCTGGCAGAGGAAGGGACGGCCTCCTGGACACATGCTGTCAAATGATCGGGCAGCCGCCGGCATGGTGTGAGTAGGGGCCAGCAGTGCAGGGAGAGCAGGGAGGGGGTGGGCCTGGAGGGAAAGAGGCCAGAGCTCCTCACCTGCCGAAATCAGATCCAGCTGTTTAAGTCACCATGGAGGAGGGTTAGTCTAGTTTGAGGGGTGGGGAAAGAAGGCAGCAGGGAGGACACTATTTTATCCTGCTTTTGCCCCAGAACTGTTCAGCCCAGCTTCATTAAATACCAGAGGTGTTTTTATTGTTAGTACACATTGAATGCTCATAACGTGCTGTAACTGCTCTAAATATCTTATATGCTTTACCTTCTAATCCTTACAGCCGCCCTCTAGTGAAGGTATAGTTAATTTTGTAAATCAGGAGACAGACTCAGAGGGGCGCCTGGGTGGCTCAGTCAGTTAAGCATCTGCCTTCGGCTCAGGTCATGGGATCGAGCCCCGTGTTGGACTCTCCGCTCAGCGGGGAGCCTGCTTCTCCCTCTGCCTGCTTGTGCACTCTCTCTCTGTCTGACAAGTAAATAAAATATTTCTTTAAAAAAAAAAAAAAAAAGGAAACAGACTCAGAATTTTTGTCCAAGGTCAACCAGCTAATAATGAGCACAGTTGTACTGCAAAGGTTTTTGAAGCAACAGAATCTTTTCTTCAAATAAAACTCTACGTGGAAGTCTAATCGAGAAAGCCACACCGGTTTGGTTGGGAGCCGCAGGGACAGTCTGAAACCACTGGCTTAGGAGACGGAGCAGTAAGGTCGTCACACCATGGCTTGCCCCCCCGCCCCGTACCTGCCCCCCCCGAAGCAGCTCTGCGGCTCACAAACACAGGACGGGGGGCAGCTGCTGTTGTTCCCTCCTTTTCACAGAGAAGGAAACGACATCTCAGAGAGCTTCCTGGACCTGCCCGTGTGGCTAGGTAACCTCAGAGTCAGTCCTAGAATGGCGTTTGCCTTTGTACGTCCTCCAGTGGCTTACCAGGAGGAAAGACCGCCAGGGCCAAAGTGAGAGTGTGTGAGGAACTCCCACCACCACCAGCAGGCTTTGTTCCAGTCCTAGGCCTCACCTCAGGGAAGTCACCTTTCTTCTTTCCTTCCAATCAGATGGAAACCAAAATCCTGTGAACCAATTCGCCGAGAAGGCCCCAAGGTACGATTATGTGAGCATGGGAATGACCGCTATCTCGGGGAGACCCACCGTGAGGGAAGAGGCTGAGGGATGTGCCACACGCCATTCCAGAGCCACCCCCCACCTGTTCCCCAACCCCCACCCTGCACCAGCACCCCCACTGGCCTCCCAGAAGGATCTTAAACAGGGATTGGAACTAAGGGTGCTTAATATAGGATAGGCCCTGCCCTAAATCTTTTGTATGTCATCTCATTTGATCTTTATAACAATCTTATGAGATAGATTCTGTTACTGTTCTGTGGTGTAGCATATTAAGTGTAGTTATCGTATACACTTAATAACCTTGAACTTATATTAAGGCTCAGAGACCTGCCCAGAGTCACATAGCTGCTAAATGGTCAAGCCAAGTCTCAAAGCCAAGGTCCATTGCAACCAGACACTATGCTCTTAACCATTAGCCTCTGTTGCCTCCAGAATAGTTGTTTGCAAGCTCTTTTAGCAATAGAATCCTTTCTTCAAATAAAATCACGAGTGGAAGCCCAGTAAAGTAAGTGAAAGCTCCACTGGCCTGGTGGAGGCTCTGTCCAGTAGAAAACTTCCACCGCCTGTGGTACTGGCCGTCTCAGCTCTCACGCTGGTGACCGTGCCTTTCGTCTTAAACTCTGCTCCCTTCAAGCCAATAATCCTGCATTTCCCTGATGTTTCTGTAACTCTCCAGACATCCTTTCTCTCGAGTTCCTCTTCCTCAGCAGTGACCCATATACATGGGCGTCCCTCAGAATTGTCTCGCTGGCCCACTCCTGCCTGTAAAATTTCTGTGAATGCTCTCAATCATTCACTCTTAGGATTTCAGGGACCAGTGTGTGGTGAAGTCGCCATACCTTTGTCCCTCACGTCTCTTTCTGGTGTAGAATTTATGTCTCCTACCGTCTGCTAGACCTCCCTGCCTGGAATTTCTGTAGCATTTCAAACTCAGCCTATCCAAAATTGCAGTCAGAATCTTTCCTCATAGACCTTCTTTGACATTCTCTGCTTTAGTCATCTTTCCCTCTTCCCGTCTATATCCACTCGAGTCCTGGCTGATCCTGCCTCCCACATTGCTCACAGCTCCTCTTCCCTCTTTGTCATCCTTACTGCCATCTGAGCTCAGAGCCTCATCTTCTCTCAGAAGTGCTTTAGTACAGGGGCGCCTGGGTGGCTCAGTCGTTAAGCGTCTGCCTTCGGCTCAGGTCATGATCCCAGGGTCCTGGGATCGAGCCCCGCATCGGGCTC